TGTGACAGGTACCAATACATTATGAAGGAACTTGGTTTAGAAATGAAAGATCAACAACGGACGACTATAGTTGAATAGGAGTTCCAGAGTATTACAGTCCTCGATCAGAGGAGCGGTTCAGGACTTATATGTGACTTAAAGTGACTTAAGTGACTTAAAGTGACTATTACAGACTTTTCTCTAACACTGAAGCTATCACTGACTCTACAGAGACCCATTTCCCCAATTTTATCAATCATGCAATTATTGTGGTGCATCCAAATCTGCAGTATTCTTGTACTCTTAGAACATTTGTTTCTTTTTCTGTTTCTGTTTTATGTAATAGTAATACCTTCTTCGTTTTATTTATGGTAAAGGGTTTTTCTTGTGTAAGTTGCTATAAGCCTATTAAAACGAATCAAAGAGGGATACAATGTATAAAATGTACGAGTGGATGCATACTGCCTGTGTCGGTGTCAGTGTTTAAAGACTACGATAATCCTAAATATGAATTCTTAAATTAGGAATGTCCAAAATGTTTATTTTTGTACTTCATATATGAAAGCAATGAAAGTACACATAGCAGTGGTGATAATACAATACATTTTCCTTTCAGTGATATCAACAACTTAGAAATTAAGGCTGATTTAAAGTATGAGAAATTAAAGGTTTTACACTTGAATGTACGAGGTATAACATTGATGAAATTAAATTATTATTGACTAATAATGTTTTATACATATTTGCATCAACGAATCATGGTTGGATGAATCGGTACCAGATGTCGAAATATATATTAAGGGCTTTTGTGTAGTTCGTAAAGGCAGAAATCGTAATGGAGGCGGTGTTGTAATATACATAAGATATTACATGAATTTTAAAGTATTAGAACATCATTCCTTAAATGATATTGAAGCATTGCCACTGTTGGTAGATACTAACCATGCCAAAACGTTTATTTTCATGTCTTGGTATCGTCTTCCAAACATTCCTAATAAGCATGTGTACAATATATGGACTTAATTGACAATTTTTATCTATAAAGTCTAAAAATGGTGCAATGCAACATTGTAAAACACTTTTGAAAGACTAATCATTAATTCATGAGAAGATATTTTATGTACTAGATGAAATATAATTACCCTAATTAGCATAATAATATAATAAAATATATGTGCAATATGTAATAATGTTGCTAATCTTAATCCAGGAAGCCTGAAAACATGGATAATAGATATTTTCAAGGGTTTTTCCGAGTCATGTACATGGTATATGGTACCGTCTACTAGACTAAAAAGCAAATGTAAGCAAGCTAAAAATTCAGAAATCTCTCAAAACGTAGTAAAAAGCTGAACAATTTAACAAGTATTTTGCAAAGGTTGGCGAAGACTTAGTAGCTAATATTTCCCATGTTCCTCCTATTTCTTTTCATGGAAATGTTTAATCCTTTTCTCTCAGACAGGATTCTGAAAATGAAGTTCTAAAGGTATTAGGGACTGATGGCATCCCTATCTACATTTTAAAACTATCTGCTCCAGTGATAATTCCTTCTTTGACTCAAATTATAAATACTTCATTGTCACGTGATGTAATGCCCTTACATTAGAAGCAGGCTAAAGTTGTACCGATTTTTAAATCTGGTGACAAGACACATCCCTCTAATTATAGACCAATGTCACCGATTGCAATTTGTTCATCCGCTTCTAAAACCATTGACAAAATAGTTCAAATTCAATTAACCAATCATTTCAAAATAAACAATTTACTTTCATTTGAGCAGTCTGGCCTCGGAGAATAGCATTCAACCGCTACTTCTCTTGTTAGAGTCACCGATGAATAGCTTCGCGCTACTGACAACACTGTTTGATATTGTTGACCCATGTATTTTGTTTAAAAAACTCAAATCTTTTGATGTGTCAGATGATAGTCTTGTCTGGTTTAAAAGTTATTTGAGCGACCGCAAAATATATACATGTATGAATCTTGCTGTGTCTGATCTTTTAGACATCCACTACGGTGTGCCACATGGTTCAATTGTAGGGCCAATGCTATTTATTGTTTACATTAATGATTTTATCAATAATACTGATCAATGTACTATCCATTTGTACGCTGATGACACAGTTCGTTATTTTTCCCATAAAATGTAACAATTATAGAAAGTACACTGAACACTAAGTTAAAGCATATTTACAAATGGATGTGTTCTAATAAGCTAAGTCTAAACGTTCACAAAGCAGAAAGTTTGTTGATTGGGTCTCGTATAATGTTAATCAAGCGTAATTCACGCAACTCAATACAGGGTAAGTGCATCCAACCTCAGAAAGTGTGAAATATATGGGACTTATTATAGATCAGCAATTGAAATGGGATAAACATATTGAACATACATCTGCAAAAGTTAGTAAGCTTTTAACAAATTTGGGCCGGCTTCGTCATTTTTTTAATGAGCCTAGCTTAAAATTGATCTATCAACCCATTATTCTTTTTATGTTTGATTATGCTGATGTAGTGTACGACTCAAGTAATAAAAGATATAGCACTCAATTGCAAAAGTTAAAAAATAGAGCAGGTAGTCCTTTTAAACATATATCAAATTGTTATATTCACTAGATGTTAAATTGGGAATCATTGGCCTGTCGTCGTTTAAAACATACAAACTCCATGATTTTTTAAATCCTTCATGACCTCAGTGCCCCTGACTTAAAAGTCTCATTACACTTTGTTTATCACCCATATTCGTTACGTTCTATCGGAAATGTATCTTTACCTAAAGCACATACCGAATCATGTCGTAGAATGTTTTCATATCGTGGGGCATCACAATTTAACGTTTTACCTTTTACTTTACAATCATCCCGAAATTACAATGAATTCATATGATTATTAAATAAACATACGTTGAAAAGTATCTCCCTTTAAAATAGAAGTTTTTAATATTTATAAATAAAAGGGTGGGTGGGGGTTTAGTGTATTGCTCTTTGGTGGGTGGGGGCATGTAACTGTGTGAACGATGTTGTTGTTATATTATACCAATATGTTAAGAAATTAATTTTGTAATATATCATTTTCTCTCATTTATTTTGTATTGTAAACTGGACCCCTTGGTAGAATAGCTGTGCTGTACTGGCACAGCTGAACAGGGCGATCCATTCAAAGTTATTTTGTCATGTTATCATTTATTTTGTTATTTATACGTTTTTATATTGATGAATAAAATCAATACAATACAATCTGCCTACGACATGGAAGTGACATAATAGCAGTAGAGGAGGATGTTATCAACAAATTTCTTTCTTTCTCAAGAATAAAAGAAGGGGTGAAGGTACAAATTCTGTACCCCCGACCGTCCAGTATCTCTCAGTTGAGTACTGTTCTCTCTTTGAAACCCTGGGCCCCGTCTAAGGAGGCTAGTATTAATTGTGCCAACTTCATCTTGAAATCAACTCTTAACTAACATTGGCGTAATTGTATTGAATATGGCGGCCAGAGCTATCATGAAAAATACAACCCTCCCCTTTCCCTCTCCCCTTACAAAACTCATCTATGTAAATGTACAGGCGAGGAGGCAAGAAGATCAGTAAATGTGTAAGGGAGCGCAGCAATAGAGCGGTAGGCCCATGTAGAGTTTCGCATATTTGAAAATTGATGAAATGTTTTTTATATTCATTTCTTCTTTATATAACGAACACAATTAACGAAAGCTTGGGAGAAATACGATAGAGAAAATAAGCGAGGGAACCCAAATATTATATTTCTTTTCCAAAAATCGAAGTATTTTAAATAAGTCTGCCCTGATTGAAGAACTTTAGATCAATCATACAGACACTGCACTCAGCTCATGATACTGTATGTTTACTATGACATAAATTTTTATTGTTATTATTTTTATTATTATTATTATACCTATTATTATTATATTTGACACTTGATATTTTTTTCAGCCCGAGGCGAACAGACACTAAAAGTTTTTAAATTTCAAAAGATTTCCTTACTTAAATTATAATATAAAGTATAATCATAGTTGTTATTATCATTCCCCCTTATGTTCCCCATTGTTCAGGTCTGTTTTTTCCATATGGATTAAATGAAGGGGACGAATTTCTACCAGCCAACGATGATGGTTCTACAAACGAGCTACCAATTACCATCGCCTTCCCGTTCTTCGATCACGACCATACTAGTCTTTTTGTAAGTCCCTCGTTGGTTGAACCAAAATATTTTGTTTAAAAGAAATCTGTCGAAACCGTTTCATGATATCACATTTAGGAACACATATCATAGATAAGACTAAGACTTACGTCACATTTTGGTACATACATGTAATCATCTGAACACAATCGATGTCCCATAAACATGATAAAGATATCAAAGGCTAACAATTCTTAAACTAATTTAAAATTTTAAAAGGAAAGACAATTTTTAAATAATCCCAGCGTATTTTACATCGGAGACTTGCTGCGGTTGTTACCGCCTAGTGCAGTCAACAACTCCTACTTTCGCCCCCCCCCCTCTCTCTCTCTCTCTCTATCTCTCTCTCTCTATGTATGTTTGCGTGCGTGTGCGTGTGTGTATATCAGTGTTAGCTGATTAATCTGTTTTCTTTTTAATAATACTGTCACCGTTCGTCTTTTTCAACTTTCCACATGAATTAGCCAGACCTATACTTACTACCGCCTTCTCTGTCTGTCTCCCCATTTCTTTGTTTTCATTTCCGTGCTTTCATTCTCATTCTCTCTATGATATCCCAGCCTTGTTACTAAAATTTACTACCAGTCACTTTCATATAAATGTTGATGCAGGTCAACAATAACGGTGTCATCTCGTTCTTGGCGAGAGTTGATCAATTTACCCCCGATCCGTTTCCACTCGCTGATGGCCGACGACTTTTGACCCCATTCTGGGCTGATATCGACACGAATAATGGTGGGACTCTATCCTATCGACAAGTCTTACGATTCGCCCAAAACGACGACATATTCCTCGAAGCCGATGAAACTATAAGAGCATCATTTGTTGACATGAGAGATTTTGTGTCGTCATGGATGTACATCGCGACCTGGGACAGAGTAGCTTTCTTCGGTGCTGCTGATACCTCTATCGTAAGTACACTGGTTTAATATATTGTTCGCCGCTGACCCTATTCATTTTGATCATCTGTCGCCACTGTATTATAGATTTCTGGTACTGTGTCATGTTATGGCAATGTAATTTAAAAAGTACCCCGACGAATTTCCACGAGAATAATAAAACAAAATAAAAAAATTGGCATTTCTTAAGGAGTCTTGCATTCACCCTTTTGAAAGTCCTGTCGGCCAATTTGCAAACACGAAAAAAGGATTACAGAACGTATTAAACTCAAGTGCAAACCTGCTGGAAATCAAGCTGAACCAACATTTACAATTTGTAAAACACTACTTGACTTTTATGCATTTTGTTCTGTCAAGCAATCTAATTTTGTTTGCCTTTTTTCACTTTGGTACATCTTTATCTTTCAATAAAATTACTTAAACTTGATAATCATTTCATTCAACATCCTGCCGTGTTATCCGTTTTCGTGTTTCTTCAAATTTCATTTAATATTCATATCAAGATATAAATTTTGATAATCTTGATATTTTACTGCAGAGAAATTCCTTTCAAGCTGTGATGGTGACAGATGGTCGATACTCCTTCGCCATCTTTAATTACGGTGAAATAAACTGGACAACAGGAGGTGCCAGTGGTGGTGATAGTGGTACTGGTCTTGGTGGAACCCCCGCTCAGGTAAATCATTATATCGTTTGCTTTATACCTCCTTCTTCTTATAAAATAAGGACCCGATTGTGTATATGGTAACGACCTCATGTATCACATTAGCCCCTCCCATTTCTATGATATAATACATCAGTCAAACCGCCAAACCGACCCCAAGTCGAGTGCAGACAGAGTAATTCTCCAACATTTGGTGTTAGGGAATTTTGGAAAGATTGGTGTCGGTTGTGACTCTGGTATTAGGTTCTAAATGTGGAAGATCCTTTTCATGATTTTGGGTTTAGTTTAGTCAGGAGGGCAAGAGGCTGAAGTGAACTGTGCAGTCACATAGATTAAAGGGATAGTTGAGTTCTGTTTTGTTCAGACCGCAATTGCTTTCAAAGTGCATGGTTATCATTTATTGCTCTTATTTTCATCTATGCCATTTCTAGCGCCCTTTGAGGACCTAAAATTGCTATGAAGGTAATTTTAGACCCCGGAATGTGTGAAATTTAGCCAAAACGATCATACCAATTCAGCTCCACTTTCAATAATATACGGTGACCGTTAATTAATTAATTAATTTATTTATTAATTTATTAATTAATAATTACAATACATGTGCCGGCTGGTTAGGCTCAATTTAACCAACACAAAAAGCCAACAAAAAAGCCATCATCGGCATTGGCTGAAATACAATGTAAAAGTCAGTATTTCGTTTTTTCAACGGCTTTTTCAAATCATTGAATATTGGTGGTGGTACACAAATATTAGAAATCGTTATATTTATGGATATTTCAGCCGTCTCTGAACCGATTTTGGTCAAACAGAGATGATTTTGTGTAGCGCCCTCTGCATGTTCCTTTAAATTTGATACTCAGTTTTTCATTATCTCACCCCCAAAAAAATTGCGTAGCACCCATTGCAACAGAACTCAACTATCCAATTAAAGGGGGTTATGCTTCAGTGCAAGTAATCACGCACTGTTGGAAAATAAAACCCGTTCAAATGCTATGCTGCATGTATCGATAAAAGGGATCATAACATAATTTTTTGTTTAATGGTGATAACAAAGAACAAAAAAATCGCAGTAGCTAAGAGTCAGAAGTATGTCAATTAAGTTTCTCATCAACTAATGGATAGACCAAATAACTGAAGATTTTCACTCTTTCTTCTTTTTTTTTTTTTTTTTTTTTGGGGGGGGGGGGCAATATGACATGAAATGAGACGAATTAAAACATGAATCGAACCCGTATCAAGTTACATTTGTACAGGAGAATTGCCTTAAATTTTACATGTCGTGACTCTTAGGTTGGATTCAACGCTGGTGACGGAGTGACGTTTTATAGTGTCCCTGGATCTCGGACAGCGGCCGTCGTCAATATCGAAACGACATCGAATATCGATGTTCCAGGAAGATGGGTATTCAGAACGGACAACTCCAACATCGAAGGATTAGAATGTACTACCTCCGGTGTGTAAACATCCCAAAACCATTCTTGCAATTGCTGACGTAATCATCATCATCACCATTATCATCATCATCATAACTGTCCGTTTACGAGGAGTTGTTTACTTCCGGGTCATAATGACACTCCTTTTCTCCTCCTCTTCTTGTCTAGAGCACCTTTCCCATTTTAACCAACCTTACTGCTTTCTTTCTTCACCATTTCTTTCGAAGACAATTTCCGTCTTCCTTTGCCCCTTGTGCCATCCTCTTCCAGATCCCACGCTCTTTTCACATGCTCATCGTTCTCTTTCATCAACTCATGACCCATTCATCTCAATCCATTCCGCTTTACCACTTCCACCTCAGTTTCTCCCAGATTCAAACATTCCATGTACTTATTTTTGTTCTTGCTATCGGATAGCTTTATACCAAACATCAATAAAGTTAGATTTGGTTCCTTTGTTTCTTTTTTATATCAGCATGTCACATTTCCTTTGATATATTCATTTTTGATATACTTTACGTTTAATTCCTTTAAAAAAAAAAATTATCAGGATGTTACAACGTATAATAGAATTGGTGAAATTTAACTACTTTGATTCGGTCAATTAGAAGATATCTAAAATGATTATGTTTGTAGTCATCTCTTGATTTATAATTCAAAACCTGGTCGAATAACAAGGTATTGTGTGGGGTGCGTAGGCAAGTGAGTGTGTTTAGTGCGTGAGTGTCCTTCTCTCTCACTCTCTCTCTCTCTCTCTCTCTATATATATATATATATATGAAGAGTTTCATTCCAAAAGGAGCTAAATCCACTTTGGGTACTTCTGAGTAAATCGACTTTTTTTATTTCTCCACTTTCCCTTAAGCCATGGACCTTAATGTTGTTATATATTTTAAAGGTATCACCCTTGACCAATAAAACATGATAAGAAAAAATCTACCAGTTTTTCCTGATTTTTACTAAATTTTTAGAATTTTTGTTTTCGTGGATTTAGCTCCTTTTGGAATGAAACATGATATTGTACCTGGAAAATTTCATATTTTCTCAATAAAGTCACTGAAATTTATTAAAATTTAGTAGCAAACCTTTCCTTTTAAATAATAATAATGAAATCACAACTAAAAAAAGAAAGTAGACAACATATCACATTTTCATTCCAAAAGGAGCTAAATCCGTTTCATTTCAAAAGGAGCTAAATCCATGTTTCATTCCAAAAGGAGCTAAATCCACAAAATCTAAAAATTTAGTAAAAATCAGAAATAACTGGTAGATTTTTTTTCTTATCATATATTATTGGTCCAGGGCGACACCTTTAACGTATATAACAACATGAAGGTACATTGCTAAAGGGAAAGTGGAGGAAAAAAAAGGTGATTTACTCAGAAGTACCCAAAGGGGATTTAGCTCCTTTTGGAATGAAACCGATTTGGATTTATCTCCTTTTGGAAAGGAACATGATATTGTACCAAATTTTTTTCATACTTTCTGGTGAAATTTTCGAAGTTGATATAGTGCATTTTGTCACCATGTAGGAAATCATTATTTAAGACAAATAACTCCATTTTGATAAAATATGGATTTAGCTCCTTTTGGAATCAAGCTCTTCATATATATATATATATCCGCGTGAACGTAAGTTCACCGAGGAGCGTAATATTAGTATGCCACGCCCTCATTCATACCATTTCGTTAACCAGAGGTTGTTTTTCCTCCTGACAGGTGACATTTCCTTGTTCCCTTTGGTTGGTTCAATGCTTGGCGGAACTCAGGTTCTTATCAACGGACCATGCTTCAACCCAACCAGCATGATTATCTGTGAGTTCGACGGATTCGAGACTTCTGGAAGACTTCTGGAAGACGAGATCGCCCTCTGCGTTTCGCCGACTTTCTACAAGGTTGGACAGATTCCCTTGCGCGTGTCTCTAGACGATGGAGTCACGTTCGATTTCACAGGATTGTTCACAATTAGTAAGTTCATATGAACATCGTCTTTGGTAAAAAGCTTTAAACCATGTCCACCTCTGCTGTCATCACATCAAAATCGAAAGCGAAATCGAATCGAAAGCAATGCATTTCAAAAATGTTGACAAAAGTTCTTAAAAATGATAGTTCATGAAGAAATAAATGGTACATTAATGTTCTAAATCTTAAATTCCAACCAATAAACAACCGTTAATGGTTATCAATTTTACTTGCTTCTTCATTTGTCTGCATCATCTTTCTTGACAAATGCATTTATATTCATGTACGTATACAAGCACACTAGACAGAGCATATCGAAATTACTAGATTCTATTAAAGCACGTAGACATTATACTGAAGGGCTAAAACATAAACTTATAAGTTGAGGTCTGTACAGTGCTTTGAAAGGAGGTTGGAACTAGACAGTGACTTGAGCACAAGTCTGAAAGATTAAATATATTGCCGCGTTATCATGATTATGTACCTGGGCATCATTCACGAAATGTTGTACAAGTTCGTCAATATTCCATTGAAACGAGAGTTGATTGTAATTTAGACGTTTCAATGGGATGTCGACGAACTTGTATTTATGACGATTTCGTGAAGTGGTGCCCATATTATCTAGACAGTGAACATTTTTCCCTACAGTCAGTGTCGAGGATGTTCCTGACAATGTATTTTCCTCGGTAACGGAAAGCAACCAAAGAGAGTCCGACTTCGAGATCACGTGGAACACAGATAACCTTGAAGGCGTGGATGAGGTTGACATCGTTGTCTACGGCTACCGAGAGGAGTCAGAGGACAATTTCGTGGAGTTTAGTGGACCTTTGGTCACAGTCGCAGAGGGCGTTGACTATCATATCGGTTACCACACCGTTTCAGGGCTACTGGACCCTGAAATACATGTCGACGTCGGTGTTATTGGGGTCATAGAATCTGAAGGTCAAGGGGGAAAGTAAGAATTAAATCAAAATTGATATCTTTTCCTCGAAATGTAGTAGTATTCGTATATTGTCTTAGTGACTGTTTAAAAAGACATGTATGCAATTTATATTTTTTAATGTACATGCATTTTCTACAACTTCATCTTTTACTTCTTTTCTTATTGTTTATCCTTTCTGTTTTCCTGTCTTCATGTTATATTCTGTTTTCTACATTTTGCTGCCAAAGCAATCTTATCATATTAACTACATATACTTCAATGTTGAAAAATCAATTGTAACTGTATTTTATGTTTGAAATATGCAATGAGTGTTTTAATTGTAAAACATGACCGATTCAGCCATTGGGCTGCGACACATGTTTTTTTAATAAACCTTGAATTGATTGAATTGATTGATTGATAAGTTTATCTATCGTTTCTTGGTAATTTATATAACGTGCATTGATTATTTGGAGCCTGGTGAACTATTGACTGGAGATTCGATCTCGGGGCAGCAATTTTTTTAGAGCTGAAGGCGAGGGAAGAATGTATAGTATACAAATATACAATGACACTCGAGGATCTAGGCCGAGGGGAAATAATACTATTGATGTTCCTGAGTACGAATAGTTTTAGCTTGTTCCAAGAATGAGTCATTGTATATTTGTTTTATATTCCTTCTATCTGTGTCATTCCTTAGACACTATACTGTGATAACATGTAATGTACTCACATTCACATCAAATTTAAAAATAATAATAATTGCACTGCTCAAATGAAACATTGAAGGGTGTAGTAGTGTAGTGCAGTTACGGCACAGCATAAATTACGAGGCTCAGCGCCGTAATACCGCGGGAGTTGCCAGTGAGGAGGTATTTGAAATCCTGTACGCTCGCTAAATTTTGCCAAATGGGGAGGGTGGGCGGGAAAACGATTAGTTCACTCTTTCCCTATGGAAAAGGTGAACTATTCGTGACGTCAGCAATACAAATGAACTATTGGGCGGAAAACGTTTTTCCTAGTAACACTATTCTTTTTTGTGTTGTGTAAACTCCTAATGCAACAATTTTACGATGAGTGATATTCTACCTAACATACCTGAGATCACTTAGGCGATGATAGTTTCCACCTGCACGAGAAAAGGGCGTTCATAATTTGCTTTGCTTCCCATATAGATATTACGACTGCTTTGATATTCGAGGAATAGTTTCTTATAGGCTCTTGGGGACGTTGCATCTTGCTATTACGCCTTGGGGTGATAGCAGGATGCAACGTCCCCTTGAGCCTATAAAACAACTATTCCTCTCATAGTAGTCATTCCTCTCATAGCAGTCATTATATTTGTACTATCACGCCAAGAAAGAAAATAATTATATCACACCAAGAATAAAGCAATCCACTAGTTTCCGTGTGACCTTGTTTAGACCAATCGTGTTGCAGGATTCTTGGTAAGTGGGATAGAAATATGTATTTACTTGGTTCCCTAATCGTTATTTTCTCGGGTTCTTCTAGTTCTAACCGGGCTGCCCTCTGGAGCAAGGTCCATGTTCTACAGTGGCACAATGGCGATGACGTAATAAATTGGTGCAATGATTGGATTGGAGAAGAAGTTTGGTCTGATACTTCCTTTCTGTCCGTCACACACCCGTGCCCATGTACACTTGACCAGGCCCAAATCGACATAGGGAGGTTTAGTCCGCATCCGCTGTGCGATATTGGCATCTCGTCACCTAGCAACTGTATCCATAAACCTGGGGCGATACACTGCGTACGAGCAGACACACCGAGGTATTTGATGTTAATTATTAATGTGAAAGAGCTTAGCTTCTCCATACGTTATTGGCATGATTAATAATAACCATTATCAATCCACTTACAACTCTTATAAAGCACTTCACCAGTAACAACTTAGCCGACCGAGGCGCTTAAAGTATTATTAACCTGGAATCAATTACGATTCTACACACACACACACATGTACATTTGAATGTGCACACTCTCCACTCCACTTGGGTGCATTCCAGCCAAACGTCTTTTTTGAGGACGCCAACATGCTAATCAAAATCACATATGACGTCCGCATACTAGCGAGGAGCCATTTAACATCCGGCTGGAGATTTAAAATGCCTTTCTCGAGGTTTTAAGTACTCAAGGACGCCTCAACTATACTCGATATTAAACTGATTTCACTTGTTCAATACGACAAAAATAGTTCTGTACAATTTTCGTTTTTATACAGTACAGTATGACCTGACCTTTTCAAAATGTTAGAAATGAACAAGATATGTATAGATTTTAAGATCGATATCCTGCATGGGGGGGGGGGGGGAAAGTAAATGTCAACTTCTGCTTTTTCAGCACACTAGGAGGGGGACAGGAGTGTTGCTATGGTGATGAAGGAATGATCATTAATGTATTTGATAGTCTGGGAGGGGGCTACAGCCATCGTTACCACCATGGGGGCGTTACCCCATATGGAGAACCTAATAAGGTATGTACCTTTCCGTATGATTATGCATTTGGTGTGACTCTTTGTCAAACAATTAGAAGAAGAAAGGAAGAGGATTTTACAAAGCGACGAAGAGAACAATTCAACCACACACACCCATTGATGCATACACATACAAAAACACGCACACACACACACACACACACAGGCAGTATTAGTTCTGCTCGGAGTTTGAGATAATAGGCAAAAATATAGCAAATATTGATCCTCCGTGCAAGAAGAAATTGTTTTAGAAATTTCCGCCCTCAAGTAATGATTTTATTTGACTTTAAGAAACGTTATTCGTCAAAACATGTGCTTCCTATCTCCATGAAATGTGCTGGTGCACAAACAAAGAGAGAGAGCGAGATCACGAGTAATTACGTCATATAGAGATAATAAGGCAGAAATAAGGAAAAAGGCGCGTAGGAAAACAGTAAAACGTAACAGTACGTCATAAAGAAAGCAAGTGAAGACAGAAAATGAAAGCAGGTCAGTGAAGTGGGAAGAAAAAATACAGAGGGAGAGAAAAATAAAAAAAAAAGAAGAAGAGAGAGAAAAGGGAATGACAGAAAAAGCGAATATATCAGACAAAAGTTTAGAACGGGGAAATTAGTGGAAAGTGACATTTAGTACATCCGGCTGCAAGCAGTCCAGCCGATAATGAATTGTTCTTCCCAGAGCTTACGATGAACATCTGTACTTAAATAGCATCTAACAACTCCATAAACATTGATACATGCATACATACTTAACATATATTACACCTTAGTATAAATAATATATACATGTTAAAAAAATAACCTATGTAACAGCTTCGGCAACTACCGTGGAAAATAATACAATGCGAAAGGAAATTAGAGAACAATGGTCGCGTAGCTTGAATCAAAGTTCGTTATTGTGTGGAGGTTATAAATAGTATCACGTGACTTCATTAACTCTTCAGGTACCATATCTGTCGCACTACCTCGTCGACATCTTGCCCTGGACCTACTGCTGTACTTACGGTGGACCAGATGAGTGCACAAATTTTGGTCGGCATCGGCCTTCTCAAACTTGCAACAACTACGTACCGCCTCCTCCAGGTATTCTTTTTTGCATCAATTTTATCGATCTCCCCATAAGGCATAACCATGATGAGATTTTTTTCTATCATTCGACAGTTAGACAAAGTCATGGAAGCATGTTCGGAAATGTATGTGTGTAACCATAAAACCTTGTTCACATCAGACGACGTAAAAAAAAAATATTAAAAAAACCTGCTAAAAAAAAAAGGCTGATGTTATTCTATTTCACTTTTTTTTCTTCAAATAACAATATTTTCATGTCGACAAAGGAAAGATATAACCTGGATATAACTGCATGTCTCTGTGCGCTTTACAAGACAGAATACAGAAGGAGTGGAAAGGGTGCACTGGATTCATAATCATTGTGAGATGTTACAAAGTGCTAAATAAATATGTTTTCAAATTACTTCTGAATAGTTCGTACGTTTCTTTATTTCTAAGGTATTCTGGCAAGTTATTTCATACAACAATGGCTGCATTTGAAAATGACCTTTCTCTGTAAGATTTTGTTATAGTTTGTGGGACATAAAATAAAGATTTTTTACTGGAACGCAACGTTCTTTCTGGTCTATACTGTATTAACAATTCAATGACATATGATGAAGCAAACTGACAAGAAACATTGATAAGTTAATACAAGTACTTAAAACTGGATGCGGGACTGAATAGGTAGCCAATGTATATGTCTGAAGACTGGAGATATTATTGATGTTTTGGTGTTTGTGTTACGAGTCTGAAAATATGCTAAAAAATCATCCTCGACACTCTCCCAAAATCATTTCCCCCTTCAATATCACGTACTAAACTTTCTCCTTGTTTACCCTCTCTCTCTCACGCATCCATCTATCCCTCCCTCCCCTCCCTCTCCCTCCCGTTGTCACAACTCAGCATTGGGCAGTGGTGATCCACATATTTCAACTCTTGACTCGACCACGTACACTTTCAACGGCCACGGTGAATTCACGATGCTGAACGCACTAAATGGCACCTTCATCTTACATGCAAGAGCGGCTCCTCTCGTTGGTAAAATTTATTTTCCATTCATTGTTTTAGCTCAGTCTTCATTTAACCCATTGACTACTGAATGTTATAGGTCCTATAGGCTTTAACACAGGGACCACCCGGTTCCCGTAAGCAAAGGGTTAAAATATACTTTTCACGTCGATGTCAATCCGATTTTACATCCGTTTGCGAGTTTACTCAGACATAATTTTAATTCCTGATAGACTTTTCAACAAACCTACGTGAAAGATGCATGTAAAAAACTTGGGATTTATATGCTTTAACCTTTAGAGATTCTTAAATGAACCCTGTACACAAGTTCCTCGAAACAACTATTTAGGGTTTTAAATATGGGACAAGATTAGGAACCCAACCGGTTCTATTGTTAATCATCTGTTTTATATTAGAGGGGAAACCATTCTATGCTCAATGATGAAACTAACGCCAGATCGTTCATCTTGTTCATAATGAATAAAAAAGTCACATGTCATCTTTCTGTAATGTATGTACACTTTCACATCATTCTAAATGAAAATATGATATTTAATAATGAATAAAGAAGTCATATGTCATCTTTCTGTATTAAATGTATGTACACTTTCAAATCATTCTAAAGGAAAATATGATATTTCACCTATTAGTTGAACAAATGTTCATATCAAAATGTATTTCCTACTGTAATTTCCATTGCAGGAACGTCTGATGCAACGGTGTTTGTTGCCATGGCAGCACGATTTGGGGATAGTGATATAATTCATATTCAAACCAATGAACGCAGGGTTCTTGATGCCTATGTCCGACTAGCCGGGGATGGACAACACTTCACGAGGATTGAATTTGATCAGGCTTCTCGATGGTCATATTCAGGTATAACAAATTAACCTTTTTGTTTTTTACGTCATGCGGTTAGATTTATTTTAATTCAGTTATGTATCCTACACATTTGTTCCCTCTTCTTCCTATCAAGAGAAAGCTGGGAAAGCAGTTAATTTTCTTTAACAGTTGCAAGACTTCAATTTTTCGAGAAAATTGGTATTGAGGAATATCACACCACTGGGAAATATGATAAACCTTAAAACCAAGAATGTCTAAGCTTTAGGAATACTGTTTTTTCACAAACTACTGTTCTAACTCACAATGAGCAGAACTATAGTGTTCCAGATCCTTTAATCTTCCCCACCCCTCTCATATTTTGCTATCAATAACAATACCAATCGTTGTACGATAAGCTAGTCGATACCATGCAGTTCTTTAGTGTCCATCATTTTGCATCTACTTGATTTCCTAGGGGTCTCTGTAACCGGTCGCAACATTACCACAGATGGAATCATTGTATCTTTTGACGGAGGGGTAGGGCTGAATCTAAAAGCAGCAGAGGGGGCCATGAGCATTCTTCTTGTAGCTCCAGACTCCTTCCGAGGTCAAACGCAAGGCCTGATGGGAACGTGGAATGGTAATGCCAGCGACGATTTCCTAACTCCTCAGGGATCTTTCCTCTCACCTGATCTGACTACTGAGCAGTTGCACTACCAATTTGGACTACTATGTAAGATCATATTTTTTCTCCCAATAACTTTTCTCTAACTGTTTGTCAATATTGTTCAATGGTATTTTTCATTCACTTGATTTCAAAGTACATGTACTATTTACACTAATTATAATTCACCTAAACATAAAAAGACTCTCTTTTGGTTTTTAGCTGGGACGTCTGAAAGTCATTCGTCTATAATCTTGACCTTGACTTTAATACCTTGACTTAATTTTCCCCGTCATAATTAGGTAGAATTATAAAAGAGAGCAAGTAAATGTGAGGTATTCAATATATGGTTGAGTTCTGGTCATGCAGTTACATTCTGAATGAAGTCATTTATTTGGAAAAGTTTATTAAGTACTATCGATAGAGGTATTGGCGTCTACAAATTTTGAAATATTAAACATTACTAAAATCGACTCAATCTTGCTGACATCACATGCACTGCACACACAAATGGGATTTTGGGGACTACACACATATATCACGTGAATGATTGCTAGAAAGTTCTTGTCATATTTCGAATGAGAGCTTTTGACATGCAATTATTTTTTTAGTATGTGCACTTTATTCTTACAAACTACCATAAAAAAAACCTTTGAAAAAAAATTCATAGATTATTCATTACCTTTTAAAGAACTCAGCCTTCTCCTTTAATAACCTCGGGTATCGAAGAGACCATTCCCTCCCAAACTATTAGAGCATTATTGAGATATCCTCCATAGCGTCGTTGCTTCTGATCTTGAACACGCATGTGCGTTACAAAGGAATACTCTCCTTTGCTTCAATACAGGGGAAATCGATGCAGCAGAATCGTTGTTCTATTACGAACCGAGCAAGGACCACGAATCTCATACCGACCGCACTTACACTCCTGTCTTTGAGCCTGTCGCCAACCCTTCTGTAGACCAAAGCCTTGTATTAGAGGTGTGCGGTACGAACCAGTTCTGTATCTTCGACTACCAGACAACGGGGTCGCAGAGTTTTGCCCAGAATTCCGTGAAGGCACTTGTGCAATATCAGCAGGCAGTCGACAACATAGCATCGTTCGGTAAGTTTTTCATACCTGCTGCTCACAAAACCTCATTCCATTGCGCCAGTCACATTCATCCATGCAATACATGAGGGACTTTTAGAATAGGGACTTTTAGATTCGCATGAAGACAATAGGTCTATGCTACTTGTAATGCACTGCCTTCAATGGACGTAACACGTATCAGTCCACGCAAATCTAAAAGTCCCTATTGAGTGGACGAGAACACGACGAACGCCGACTGATCATGCGTGTCAACGTACGGAACTGCCCATGTTGACTACAATTAGAAATCTTTTAAATTGCACTCGACGATATACATGCATGCAGGAAGTAACACTATGAACATGACGGACAAAGAAAGAAGACAAAACATACAGTTCCTCATTCTACCCTCAACAATTGCTGTGGTAGAACATCCCTTCATTGCTATTATGTAAAAATGTGTAGAACAGGTGAATATGAATGTGACACCTGTTCTACACATTGTTACATAAGAGCAGGGAAGGGATGTTCCTTTGTCTACTTGGGGAACTGTATATTTTATGCGCACGCGGCATATACTAGTACTGTAGTAGATTTAGAAAAATCAAGGTTGACGCATTCTCGATCGCCGACTGAGACGACGTGACACATGCGCAGTGCCTTAAAATGACGTCACACGTTGCAGTCAAAGCTGTCGACGCGCTAATCTAAAAGTCCCTACTTTCAACAGAACACGACAGAGCATCTAGGTTTAGATGCAACTTATTGACGCAAGGTTATGACAAACTGGCGCAAGATTATGTCTTGTTATGTCCGTGTTGCGCATGAGGGATAATTTCGTTTTCGTTATTACCTGTTTTCGTTATTACCAAGTCTAATCAACAAAGTAAATAGCCATTTATCGGTAATTCAAGGCAGTGTTTGAAACAGGCCCCCCAAGCTCCGCCATTTTGTCCGGATCCATTAGAGGCCAAAATAAGCCTTGCATAATTCATGAGCCTTATGAATTATGCATTCTGTAGAATGCTCCCCGCAAAAAGTGTACTGGAATGATGCTCACTTCATGGTAAAAGACAATACGCGTATCAGCGTAATTAGAGAGGTCAAATAATCTACTGTACGGATTTATGGGTAATTTATTCATCACGCTGCGCGCTAGCAACGCAAGTGATGCAGCGAATCAGCATGGATTATTCTGATGCGATCACCGTTAGGTGAAATACGCGCTCGAACGTGTATTATCGATCACCAGTAAAACAGCTGGTGTACCCAGGATGCATCTGGGAAGTGAACCTTAAAGTTCCGTTGTTGTGTTGTTTGAGTTTTAATGGCATGTATCATTCATTTATGAATATTTACGCCAACTAATTTAAACATCATTACACCTCTACTTATTAATATTCCAGCATTATATTTTTCTGAAAATCTCTTTATTGACCAAAAAATGATAATAACCATCCATTTTCAACACATTCTCTGGCTATGATTATACATTTTAAATATGCCGATGTATTAAGTTTCCTTATTTTAGACAAACAATTATGTGGCACAGTGGATGGATTTTCCCCATCCACCCTCATCGTGACCTTAAAAATTCCCTTTCTCTCTCTTTCTCCATCTTCCAAAAAATATCGTCTGCAAGTTGTGTTCTCTTTACTGAACAACCTGTTGCAATTTCTTTCTATCTCACTTTCAGTCGTACTTGTTATTACCACTCATTTGCATGCACTCGCTATCAACTACGATCAACCATTCTATATTCACTCCATTACCCTCCACATTTCACTTGGATTCTCTTCGCTTTTCCTTTTTGCAGCCCTTGCAGGAGCTTTGAACATTTTTAACGTAGAGTCCAGAGAGATCGGAAAGTATGTTAATCATTTTATTCAAATGTCCCAACTTGAAAAAAGGAAAGTGAAACATTGTTTAATTTCATCTTGACATAAATGATTTCTTTTTTTAACGACAATTGAATTTAACACTGGAAATTTTGAATTGGCCGGGTTGCCTGCCACCCCCCCCCCCCCCAGCCCCAAAGAAAAAACAACAACAACCCAGAAGTGCTACCAGGGTTTTAGTTAGGAGGCCCATGTCCTGCATAATTTTTATTTTAAAGAATAACTTCTCTTTTTTTATTAATTTTACATTGGTATACTGTTAATTTCACTGGGACACCATCCCTTTCCCTTAACAATAAACACTGCAATTATACGTATATTATTATTTCTAGCAACATAAATGCTATAATTCAAAACGTTTTCACTTTCTAAATCCTTCTAATATAAACATATGATAAATATAATATTGTTTACACTTTTGCAAATAGTTACATTATGTACATGGTCCATGTAGAAACAGCACCAGAAAGAGGATTGCAAGCCCCCCCCCCCTGTTTTCTTAAGTTAAGAAGTATCAAAACATGATTCTATTAAAATTATTAGTTTGGATACGAAAGGCAATGATGAAATGGCAGTCTGTCTATGTCTTTCTATATTTAATGCATTTAGAGGGTTGACTTTCAAACCTTCTTACATACAATACTTGAAGCAGCATTATACTGCAATAATGCAATACTCTACAAATCCTCTAAAATACAGAAGTCATAGAGGTAAATGATTTTCAACATGTATAATTATAATTAAAATATCATTGATTAATTCAATATTTGATATAGACTGGTAGATCTTTATCACTCAAATTTCAAGGAGAATCTTTCGACCCAGTCCTCCCATAAGATGGTAGTTGACATTGTTAAAATGTTAATGTTTATTCATTGATGATTAGTTATCTTTAATCATTTGAAAGTTGACATGATGATTAATTCATTAGCTTTATTGAATGTGGTATTCTACAAACATATAATACAAATAATAAATAAATATCATGTAAAAATATTCAAGTTTAAACCCATCTCTACTGTCCTCTTTCATTATATGAGGGTGGCATCTTCAAGACGTAGTCCCATGTAGATGTCTCCTGCATTGATCAATAAAGTTGTAGCCTAGTTTTCAGAAGAAAGGGCTGTAATGATTACCCAAGTCTGTTGAATGGAAAAATGAAATAAGATACAGTGTATAAGAAAAACAACAATGACTAATAACATACACCCTGATACCTGCTCTGACAACATGACAAAGGACTGAAATTCACTTGGGGTTATAGTGGGCAAACCAAAACTATTTTTCCTACAAGACTAGTTACTGACCACATCTTAGATTATTTCTGATGATCCCGTTAAGATGATAGGCCTGCTGGAGCTTGGATCAGACAAGGTATGAAATAAGTAATACGTGTACAATGTACTTGTATTGTGAACTTGCGCTTATAATTAAATAATACTCGGTTAAGTATGGGACATAAAATGACCAAACAACTTGGACCAGAGAATGTACTGGAAATAATGATATTGAAACATACGTAATGTAGACTTATATTTCATCTAAATCTAAATCACAGTTGTGATATTCAGTATTCTTTTACAAGTAACGGACAATGAAAAATATCTTTGTCAGATCTATAACTTTCTGCATGATATGTGTTCTACAATAGTTTATTGGGGGTACCTACAATGTATATTAGCACACTTGCTCGTATAAAGTGTAGTAGGCCCGCATCTCTAGATATAGTGATTCTGTTAATATATGTTCTTTGTTCCTCTCCTGGGTTTGTAATCAGCATGCCTTCATCATCCACAGTAGAGAAGCATCATCCTACATAAGAGAAAACAATGTAGGTACTTCAATTAAAAAGTGATAATAATAGATACATAACAACCATAATACATGATACATCCTATAAACAGACTTTCAATAATCTTATGTTGTGTTCTTCTTCATCTTCATTGCTCAAGAAGTGAAAGGACCACTTACACACAAAAAAAGTAGTGAGGGGTCCTGTGTATACCCTACATGTATGATCATTATTATTATTATGTAGTGCTTTGAATGTGCATTAGACATCGTTCTTCTACACACAGGACCTCCTGTAAATAAGGACAAATCCCTTTGTAAACAAAGAAAGGGAAGAACTAGAATAAAATATCCCCTCCACTATATACAACAGCAACATAAACTTAGTTCCATTTCCTTTGTAGTGAATTAATAGGTGGTCGTTTAATATTTGTGTGCTAAATATCCTGAAAATTTTACCTGCATGGGACTTTCAGCTTCATCTTGCAAATATAAGAAATGTTGTAATGTCTACTCATGATCAGTTAACTCCTTCCAGCTCTTCATCAGTTTCAATCTTTTGGAACAAAAAGAAAACAAAATCAATATGACAATCAAGGCGTCCCTTTCTCCTTAACAAAATAAAAATAGATCTAGCATGAAAGCTATTTTTCATGTCATGGTTGGCCTTAATTTTAATATGGTGTGGAAATCAACATTCCAATTTAATGGACCACAGTACAAATTAAAATTAAATGGAAGATTTAACTTGTGCCTCAAAAAGTGCTTTATATGGCCTATACATATAAAGTAGTCTTAAGTAGAATTGGTTTATTAAGACAAGAAGAAGTGGACTACTTAAGTAAACATAATTGTGGACTAGGGGTCTTCTCTTACACAAACAAATAGATTTATCAACATGAACTGCACAATTTGGAGAAGAAAAAAAAATATCTAATATATTAAGAGAATTAATAGGGGTCAGGCGCGTACGCAGGGGGGGAGGTTAACCTTCCCTTGAGCTTTTTTTATGTGTATGTTTTTCTGGACCCCCCCCCCCCCCTTTGAGTGTTGATTTTTTGTTTTAAATAAAATTTTAAAAAACAAACAATCCTAATGGATGACCTAAAAAAGATGACCCCCCCCCCAAAACAAAAAAACAGTCCTCTTACCCCCCCCCCCTTGAAAAAATCCTGAGTACGCCATTGATAGCTAGCTAGATCTACTAGGCCTAGGTCTAGACTCTAGTAGTAGTAATGACAACTTGACAAGCACGCTGGACCCACACAAAATCTAAATATTAAATAAACAAATCCTAGTGTTGATGCTTTTTAAATATATTTTATTAATAAGTTTCAGGTTTACATCTAAATGAATAGGATTTGGGGTTTTTTTAATTTTCAATGGTCACAGATAATTTTGGTCTAAATAAAGTTGACACGCACCGCGTACCGATGATGCAACTGAGCGAACGGATGGCACCGATATTGATAAGTAAAGCCATCAGAGTCCACATCTACTAAAGATTTTATCAAGAATTAATCCACTTGGATTATCAAAAAAATCATGCTTCAGAGATTATTGTAAGGTGTAACGTTAAATCTAGATTTAAATTAAATCGGTGATTGGTGAATTAGATTCATGATGACGATCAAATCTGAAATGAAACTTGATTAGAAATTTTGATCTTGATGCAAATTAATGAGCACCGAAATTCCCGGGGTGGGCCTGCCGGAACCACGGGGCCCTAACTGGAGTACTAGGGTGAAATGACGGCAAACCGCAGTCAAACTACTTCATGACGATGAAAATTAAAGTGCAATTTCAAGAGCAATATTTGACAATAGTCTTTTCCCCAAAAATCTGTTGAGAACTGTCTCCAAATGTAACGAAATTACAGTTCATAACGAAGACTATTGCAGCTTTTTCAAAATTGATGACTAAATTCACTTAATCTACTCATATTTCAATCAATTACTCACACATTCTCAATGAACTAACTCTTGTCAGTTTGTGCGAGTGTAGTAGCGTCGTGCATAAATCTGCATCATTAAAGTGACGCAATGAGGTCAAATATATTATCCGGTTTCTTAAACGATACTATCGATAAAATACATATTCATGAGGCACTTATCCAATCAAAAAGCCGCCTCGGGTGCTTATTTTGTCTTCAAATGATCCAAAAGAGGCGGAGCCTAATCCCATTCGTCTGCATGGTTTCCGCGCGTTCTGCTTTCCGTCTAGTAATTATATTTAAACGTCTTTGGTTTGAACTATTCATTACGCATTCATTTTGGTTATGATTTCTGTCTAACAAGGCATGTCAAAGACCGCGCAAGTCAATAACGTTGTCTTCCGTCAGCAAAAAAATATCGTGTGCAATGGGCTTTAATAATCTACTAGTAGTCGATAGAAACTCGATGGGTAAACCAATTGATACGGGTTTGATTCCTCATGTGCAACTCGCCTTATCTGTATTGTTTGCTGTGTTCTACGATGTGTAATCACGATATTCTGAAAACCTGTTAATGTATTACAATCAAACTTTGTTTGTTTTTGTTTGTAAAATCGCTCTATAGTGGAGGCATCATTTTCTACTGCGTGCAGTCGAACATCCATCAAAAAGTTTGTTTATCCTTTCAACGGTTCATATTTTGTTCTCATTATCTTAAGTGAGTTGCCCAACTCTTCCCGCCCCTGCTAACGGAAGTGCCATCGCGACGACCTACATGGCAGGGGGCGTGGCTAGATTCGTGTGCGAGGCCGGCTTCGAACTGAGTCACGTGGTCAACTTAACCTGCCAATCAGATGGTACCTGGAGTGTTGGCGATATTCCGACATGCATCAGTGAGGCATCCGGGCAGACGATTATGACCTCTATGACCTCTATGACTATGAAGCCACATGGGCCAGGTAAGCAGTTAGCCAGGTCGATTTTGAATGAGCCCTTACATTTTTGTTAAAATGTGTTGTTTTTCATCATATAAATTAAACAATCAAAAGAGAATAATAACAAATATTAAAATGTATAAACATACACAGAATATAAATTTTACATAAGCAAGCGAAAAAATGTTATGGCATAAGATTTATGTTTTCATGGTCTTCCATGGAGACCAAAAAGAAAAAGAAGAGGGAAAAGATGGAAAAAACAGGACAAATCAAAACAAAAAAAACAATAGTATTTTAATATATTATGTTAAGGTCTGACGGTATTAATTAAATTAGTTGTAAGAGAGATCGTTTGGATAAAGAGAGATATACAATTGCTAATATGAATGGAAATGATATCGTATATCCTAGCCCCGACCCCCTCCCTGTAGAAAGAAAGGGCGTTTGCAGTTGTTTGCTCAGGGTCTGGAAAGGGAAAGATTATTGTATTATAGCTGATAAGGTATTGGGGTATAAAATTTGTTTACAGCAGGGAGTAGTAAAAAGGAGACGAAACTCTTGTAATTTATTCAAACGCATTCGTGAGTTCTAATGCGTAACGATGGGATGTGTAACATTCCACTTGGCTTTGAAGTTCCATGCTCCAAACCGCACTTCCACTGCGGGGACTTTCGGAAGCCAGGCACCAGTTTTACATTTATTACAAAATATTAAATTACCGGCAAATTTCAGTGTAAATCAAAAACCTTATATGGGGATTGTAATGGGAATAGTGCATCAAACAAATTTTCAAATTTAGTACTCCGTCCTTCCAATAATTTGTGTGCCAGAGTTGGTAAAAGAAAAATTACATCCTGACAAAAACTCAATATTTTAGGACAATGCGCTAATTTGTGCATGTTTTAATGTCTCGTTATTGAATCCATGATTTACAATCTTCAATAATATTAAGTTTGCTAATGCGTGTTTTCGCGTGTTTTTTTTTGTATTTTTGAAGTTTAAAAAAGGATGAAATTACACAGGTCTGTGTTTGCTTGTTCTACTCTTTACACATTCAACAATGGATGGGAATTCATTGAAAGGGACAGCGAACAGTTGCTGTGATACCATTTTCTGATGTGATTTCATGCGCTCTTTTATCTCACCACCTGGTCAACAGTTGCAAATTAGCGCATAACTTTTCGGCGGCTTGGAGCATGGGGTCAAAGGAGAGCGGCTTGATTCCAGTTCTTCTCTATAACTATAACGTCCCTGTTTACAAATTTGGTGTATTACTATTGAAAACTTTAAACATCATTACACTGTTATGGAATTTCTGGTGAGATTTCAAAGTCTCCCACCGCAGTATTTCATGCATTGAACAAAACAATGTAATTGAGGCTTTATTTTTAGAATAGTCCTTCCTACTCTTTTTTGTAGCTTTTGTAATAGGTTTATATATTTTCCATAAGGAGATTGTCATATTATGTCCTCAAAATCTAGATGAGGTAGAATTACATTTTGATGTATGAATTTTAACTTTTATTTTTCTTCTTTTAAGATGTTAAGCTTTAGGTATTCGATTCTGGATCCTGTATGAAATTTTAAAAAAATCCTCACCCCTTTTGTATATAACTAAATACCTAAAAACTGCAGAGTTATCCTTACAGATAACATACAATTATCAGTACATATATGCAGTTTTTAAGTCAAGAATTAATTAAATCATTTCCTCTTTCCCTACAGTTTTGTCGACGCCCGCTGTCATCGGAATATCCGTGGGATCGGTAATTCTGATCGTTTTGATCATGATTGTCATCATTTTGATCTGCCTACCAAAACAACGTCCACCGTCGAGCAGGTATGCTACATTTGTTTGTTGGCGCCAAAGAAATAAAAAAGCACTGTCATCATAATAGCAATGACCTTAACAAAAGCAACTGCAGACATTTTCCATACCCTATTGTACATCCGATATAAACCATATTGGGATCACGTATTACGTGTAATGTTCGCACGTGTTAATATTTGACAGGGCTATTGACACCGCCTTGACCTTCAAGAGGTCGTTGCCATCATGGGATTTCAGGTAGACCTACATTTATGTGTCCTTGTACAGGGCCTTTTAAAGAGGGTGCTCCGATATGTGGAGGTGTCATGGTATAGTGGTTCTGTCATTAACTTGTCATCTCTCTCAATCCAATGGTTGAGGGGCCGAATCATAGTCAGGCACTAACGTCCTATATAGCAAGAAATCAATCCACATTGTCTGTGTATTAAGCTCTTTATCAAACCAGAATATTATTTTCCTTAAATTAGAGGGTAAGGGTTAGTGTTACAATTGGCTTGTAGGTTAGGTTTTGGATTAGCATTAAGTTTAGGTTGTTGGAATGTTGGGTACCGTGTTAAGGCTAAACATTCCTAGGAAATTACCGCAAAGGATACACATGGTCGACCAGAAAAGGTGTCTTACAACTATCACGAGCTTCACCTAATACCATCGCAATAAATATTTAGCATTATCCCGTTTAATAATGCTAAATATATAACTCATTGTGGATGTAGTATCGAACATAATATCGCTAGTAATGTTCGTTTGTCTAGCAATGTCAACAAGGGATCTAAAATATCACGACGTTTCATGCGCTGCTGCAATACTTCGTCAGGTAATATATTGTAAGCAAGCGTTTTTCATACTCTACGGGCGATCACCTGACAAAGTGTTGCAGCGGCGCACGAAACGTCGGGATCTTTTAGATCCCTTGTTGACCAACATTGCGAGACAAACTACTACCACTAGCGATATATTTTCGATATTATCCCGTTTGTTTGTATACTTCATTTTCATTATTATGATGACCTTTTCTTTCATCCTCAATTATTTTATCGCTCTTTCCAATTTTATTTATTTACTTATTTAATTAGGAAGGTGAACCCTTCAACAGACCAGGCTGAAGTTCATGGAAACCCTACCTACGTCCAGTAAGTCCGTTTAGACATACAGCTGAGTACTGGTGTCAAGCATTGTGAAAGATTTATTATTTTATAATGGTAGTTATAGTTATGATGATAATGATAGTTATCATATGATGATAATGATAGTTATAGTAATGATGATAATGATAACAATAATAATAATTTAAATATAATCATTATAATAATAATAATACTATTAATAAATACGAATAATGATAACGAAGTAAAGATGGACTTTTAAAATTGCAAAATAGACTTGGAAAGTCTCTCTATGCGCTTATCATTACAGCTAACACAAAATAAAATTTCATGCTTATATATTTATACAGATTAATTCTTACAAACATACTATTGATTCCTATTAGATTTAGTACAGAGGGATGGATTGTGAAGTTTTTAAATGTTAAAAATGAAACGTAAATTGGCTCAATCTTGGCGAAGATCATACAATCTTGACACAGAAATGGGTATATGCATGAAGCTACACGAATATTCGTTATTGACTGTTTGATCCAAACACTTTAGCTAGTACTAGTCATATGCCGAATATGGAGGTACTTCAAGAGCAATCATGTTCAGGGGGACTTTTCTTCTTAATTGGCATACAGAAAATGGGGAAGCTCACATATTACACTTAATCTTTACCGGAATTCAGCCATCTCGTTAACTTGATACGATAGACGAAAATGACCGACTCTTCCATAAGATTACATTTCACTGTTGAATTTTGTTTTACAATTCCGCACTTGGCCGCTATGAATCCAACTAATAAACCATTGTAAATTCATTTTCTCTTCTAGAATTGAATAATTGAGAAAACCAATGTCATGAAAATATTAATTATTTCCTTTCTAATGAAACTGAAATCGTGTAGGATTTTTTCCTTGAGTGTATTCAACGTTACGGTTGCCACAGCTAAAGGCAGGGTAATAATATCCTAAGTCCTTATAAAGCGCTTAGAAAAGTTATATCATAATGATATGTGCTACAGTATTATACAAGAGTTTTTGTTAAATCTATTATTAATCGTAGTTTTTCTTTGTCTCTCTTTCCCTTTCTTTCTCTGTAGTGCTTAGTCCTGGCAATAAACTTCAATACAACGAGTGGATCGACGTGAGATGACAGAGCTACTCTTTTGCTATCTCTGCAATGCATGCAAGAGCTGATAACTACATAAACGCTTTTTCGTTGGCTCTTTTACTTTTCATAATTTTGTATTCATTTTTTGTTTAAAACACAGGAGCGTTTTTTTGCTATTACTCAGACATAAACGGCTTTGATATATAGAGCATATAAAATGTACAATTATACTATATGTGTAGCTTCGTCTTTTTTAATATTTTTGTTTTACATTTTTCGATTAAGATCAAATTCGGCTGTAAATAGGAACTATATAGCTGGCACCGTGTTCGTCAACGATTTCTCAATGATAACCATTATCTTTAACCATTATTAATGTCGTATCTTTTATTGTGTAAACATTAAAAAAGGGTGATATCCGGATATCAATGTTATACTACTTTGGAAACGAAAATCATTCAAAAGGAAAACCTAATGGATCCTATCATAAATGCTCACTTTCTCGTAGATCCATTTTGTAATTCTAGAATGAACAGACATATATTTCATGTTCAGCATATCTATCTTTGGCTTATGGATAGCAACTTTATTCAAATTAAGCTTAATTTTAATTAGGGGGAAATTCTTTGAATTTATACCCAATATAGGAATTACATCGGTATTTTGGGGAAAATAGTACTAAGTATGTTTTTGGTTGTTTCCTTTTTGTTGGTTTTGCTTTTGCTTTTGCTGTGCTGTTTTATTAGTTTGTTTGGGGGCTGATAACATGAGCTGATAACTATATAGACGTTTTTTCGTTGGCTCTATTGCTTTTCATAATTTTGTATTAATAGTTTTTTTAAATCACAGAAAACGTTTTGATGTTATTACTCAGATATTAATGGCTTTGGTATCAAGCATATAAAATATACTATTATACTATTATGTGTAGCTTCGTCTTTTTAAAAACATTTTTCAATTAAAATCAAATTCGGCTGTCAATAGGAACTATATTTTAAGTTGGCACCGTGTTGGTCAACGTTTTCTCAGTGATAACCATTATCTATAACCATTGTTCATGTCATATCTTAATTGTGTGAAAATTTAAAAACGGTGATATCCAGATATCAATGTGATACCACTTTGGAAACGATAATCATTCAACATGAAAAACCTAATGGATCATATCATAGATGTTCACTTTCTCGTAGATCCATTTTGTAATTCTAGAATGAACAGACATAATATTTCATGTTTAGCATATCTATCTTTGGCTTGTGGATAGCAACTTTATTCAAATTAAGCTTAATTTTAATTAGGGGGAAATTCTTTGAATTTAACCAAAATAGGAATCACATCGGTATTTTGGGGATAATAGTCATGAGTATGTGTTTAGTTGTTTCCTTTTTGTTGGTTTTGCTTTTGCTTTTGTCGTGCTGTTTCATTAATTTGTTTGGGGGAGATTGGTTTAGTTTTGTTAGTTAGTTTGTTTTTTGTTAATAATCATATTTTGCCAGACATATTTTTGAATAGGTTGATTAATCAGAGCGCCTTTCTATTTCTTAAAGAGCGCCATCTGCGAACAAAGAATATGAAGCCATTTCTCTTGCATCGAGAATGACGGAGGGGGAGGTAATCCATAATTAGCTCAAGCTTGATATAAGATCAGTGTTATAAACTAAATTTGCTTTCATTTATAAATAAAACAATACGAACGCTTTGCATGAAATGTTCTTGTTATTGAGCTTTTTTTGTGTAATAATAAAAAAAAAACTTAATGATTTACAAATGTTATAAGTACTAAATGTGTTTGCAGAATTTCGAGGTGTGTTCACAATTTTACTGTTTATTATCTTCATTTTCATAAGCATCGTCGTTAATCACCACCATCAACAACAGCATCACCAGGCACATCATAATTTATTTATTTTATTTATTGAAATATATTTATTCAGGATTACAAGAATCAGATATACATTGTAGATACAAAATCTGTTTTACATCATGGTCCTGAACAGGATAAAAATGTAGTACACGGAAATATAAATAATGAATATCACCAAAGCTCATAAGCAAAGGTAAGAACAGTATAAAACTAACATATGAGCATAATAAGCATTAAAAGTAGTAAAAAGCACAAAACAAAAAAATAAATACGACAATGTAATAATTGAAATTAACAGCGGAAAAAACATCAAATCACTTTAATAAAAGGCATTTAAATATCACCAAAAGAATAGAAGAGGAGAAAAGATTTAAGGAAACTGGTAAAAATTAAAGGATGAAAGAGGGAAAGAAAGAAAGAGGGGAGAGGGAAATGGAGAGAGAGAGAAAGAGAGAGAGAGAGAGAAATAAACCATGTAAAAGCAGTAAATGAATCGGCATTGTATCACACAAGTTTAAAAAATTTGTCCTTGTACATACGTTTTAAAACATCAATAGATTTAGCATTTTGAAAAGCAAAAGGTAAACTATTCCAGATTTTACCTCCAGCGTATCTAAAACAATTCTTAAAACATTCAAGATTAGGCTTTGGTAAAACAACATTCCGCGTATTGGCAAGTCTAGTGTTAAAACCATGTCTGTCAAAAAACATTTCCACTTCATTGCATAATTGTACTGGGGCTTTTCCATGAATACAGTTGTACATTATACATGATACAAAATAGTCCCGTCTAGTATCAATGGATTGCCATTTTAATGAATTCATTATATTCAGGCTATTTACATCATAATCAAAATTCCCTACGACAATACGTGTAGCTCTTTTTTGTAGTCTTAAAAGAATATTTCTGTTTTGTAAAGAATAGTTTCCCCGTACGGAACAAGAATAATCTAAGATTGGCTGTATGGTACATTTGTATATTTTATTCAAGATGGAAGAGCTTACAAATTTACCGAGATTTCTCAAAGTAAATATCTTATAACTTAATGATTTGGTAAGAGATTTAATGTCGATATCCCAAGATAATCTATCATTAATTTTAATCCCCAAATATCTGATACTTCTTACTTGTTCTATTATTTCAATATCAATATGCACTTTCAGACTTAATTCATCGTTATCATTTTTAATATCATCATCCGTATCATTTCCATCAGCATTATAGTAACCATCATTATCAGCAGCAGCATCATCCTAATCATCATCATCATTATCATTATCCACATCACCACCACCATCATCATCACCATTAATACCATCATCATCATTATTATCACCACCATCACCATCATCACTACGGCCGCTAGTCATCGTTATCATCAACAGCAACATCATCTCCGTCGTTACTTAAATCTCCATCATTATATACCACCCACACCATCATCATCGCCACCGCCACTACCATTCGCTTCGTTATCATCATCTTCACCATCATTATCATCGTCATTATCATCATCATTCCTTTTGTATTGCCCGTCTTCGAATGAATTGTACAATGAGATGGTGATCTCTAGCGAATTGAGCAGAAGAGAATACGATCGAACATGTCAAGGAGTTTTTTCGATGTTTATTACAAACGAATACCATGTACAAGGTATGCTGTGAGACATTTAACTCCGATTCGTTGACGATCAGCCATACATCAAGTCTTTCGGCTTCTTTGTCAAAAGTCTTTCTCAAAGTCTTTCTCCCTCTCAATATTGACCTTAAGTAAACAAGATATATCCATTCAAAAATCCATATCAAAAGTGTACAGGTTTGATATAATTAAAGACATTTTTGTTCTGTTCACATCCAATAAACTCATGTACTCTTTGGCACCGGGGAAGCATAGGTCGTCAGCTAATCCCCATTTGTAAAGATTTGTTCTAACAGGTAATACATTGTGCAGCAATTTGTAACTAAACTCTCTCAAGCGATGTGCCCTTATAATATATGCGTTAAATTTCTTTTGAACACGGATGACAAGTCAAAGTTTATTTGAAGTATATTTTCCCAAAAAAATACAGCACCTGTTGGTGAATGTCTGTTTAATAAAAGATATCAGAATGTTTTGATGACTTTTGATGCTTACGTCACTGAAAGGTAAAGACAATCTTCTAAATTTATTATAAGGTTTTTCAAGAGAGTGAATATGATCTATTGGTTCGGAGTTTTACTATTTGAATTTACTATCAAAATGTCATACTGTGTGGGTAATTGTCAAACATGAAAATCTAAACTTTAGTTTTATTACAAAACGTCTGAACTATTTAAATTATACCATTGTGCTTTTTATAATGGTTTCTGAATTATTGCAGCCAAACGTACATTCTGAAGAAGGCTCTATATGCATTTTAAAAAGCTTGTAGTTAAAGAACAGAACATTTTGCTGAACTTTAAACTGGAACTCTAGTGGTTGTGTATCGATATTTGAATTGATTCTAATGTTTGTACTTTACACAATTCAGTATCACTCACATCATGCTTATTTTTTAAACGAACAAAGCTTGGAGTTTGCTCTCTCTTCATTTCAAATAAAGTTTACATGAAAGTAATTATTTTGTACCACCTTAATATGTCTCCTTAGGCATTACTTTATCTGTAGTTATTCCCTTTATTTCATCTTTGTGAACCCGAGTAACTTTTTGATCAATGCCCTACATTATGCAGGAAGCTTCTCCTTGCAGCGATTATTTATGTTGACTCGATTTTTCAACATGTCGTTTCTTTTTTCATTGCACTATCTGGCAATATGATATGATGTCGAGTTACAATTTCCTTTTGAAACAAATGTTAACAAGAGATCATTTTATTGTATCATCCATAATCTGAACACATCGATGCTTTCCAACCTTCAATATTTCTGTGTTTTTCTGTAAAATGTCAGACCACACTATTTGTCAAATTGCTTTAGCATATCAAATGGTACTCTATCAAACTGAATTATAATCTAAACAAAATGGGCAAAAATCATCTGCATATAGTCATAGTTTTGATTCCCTCAAGTCAAAAGTAATACCTCTAATTGCCCTTGTTTTTTCTAGAACGAGAGGCTACAATTTCAATTGCAATCAAGAAAAGGTACGGGGATAAATGATCCCTATGTCTTACACATGTAGAGAGATACCCTGTTGAAGTGCCATTATTGAGTACACACCCATTAATGTTACAAGAG